CAGCTACAGTGTTGATGTCATTACAATATAACCACAACAGATAACGGTGTGTTTTTAGCTCACACCTATAATCTGACACACTCAGCCAGCGGGCCTGATGCAGGCAGATCCTCTACTCTGACCTAGAAAAACATTTTGGAGGGAAAATCTCAGACAAACTTCATAAAAGCAAAAACGTTTCACTGGAACTAAACCCAAACTCTTTAAATCAACTTAGTAACAGATTACATGACATTGTAATGCAACACATAAACAGTTACAAGTATTTAATGTTATAAACATTACTGAGGGAGAGATAGCATTAGCTCACATCTGACCAGCAGCTTCTGTTGCTGCAGCTTCTGTTGCTGCAGCTTCTGTTCCTGCAGCTGCTGCTGCGTCACTGAAACATGTGCAACATCAGTAGAGGAGCTTCGTCTCAGAGCCAAACATCACGTTTCCTTTATTTATGTTATTTTATGGTACATGATCCATCAAACCATATCAAATACTTTGTCTGCTTAGTCACAGTTTTTCACTGAGATCTGAAAAAGTTTCCATGAAGCTCAGAAACCAAAACAGTTTTTGTGGCTCTCATTAAAAACACATCAGATTGTTGCTATGGTAGTTAAATAATTTTAAATTGTTTAATCTTTGTATGCTAAAACCATTAAATCAAATTGAGCAGCATTGATCATCTCAATAAATAAATGTTATTTTCTATATCTAAATGTTAAAATGTTAAAATGTTCCCTTTTTTGGGCCCCTGAAGGTTTGGGGCCTTATGGACTTATATTGGATTTAACAGAAATCCAATAATTGATATTAATTTTAATTGAATGTTTTTTATTTGTTGATTTTAATAGCTGCTGATTTAAATATAATTTCACTGGCGATGTTTTCCTGCAACATTTAATGATTCAGTAATATTTTTACATTTCCTGTCAACTTAATATCTTTTAATATAAAAACGGTGGACGCCTCGCGCCCCGATCGCCGGGCTGAGCAAGATTTCTGGGGGAAAAACTGTAAATAAATGACCTCAGCTACAAACTGAGCCGTTATTGTTTCTCACAGCAGGAACATGCAAGGTAACATGAGTTAAACTCAGCTGTGTTTTACTAACAATCACTGTGAAACTCAAGGTTTCTATGTTTCAATAGACATTAAGGAGTTGGCCAGACCTTTAATGTTCTCACGTTGATGGCTAAATAACTGTTAGCTGAACATAAAAACCTCCAGGCTCTTTGGTCAAAGCATCATGTTCTGCTGATCCTGCAGACACTTCACAGTCAGACAGGGACTGAGTTTCCAGTTCTCTCAATGGGGCCTGAAGGTTTTGGTGGTTGACAAAAGAAGATTAGACTGGACTACAGACTACAGACTACAGACGTTGCAGACTGACCAGGGCCGGCCCAAACCTCCATGGGGCCTGAAGCTAAATGTGGTTTTTGATCCTTTGTTTCTGCTAACAATGTGGACCGGCTGCAATCAACAGTTAGAATATTAGATCACTTCCACACCTGCTATAGATTTATTGCATCTCTGATGGTTCTGTTGCATTACATCCTCTGCATGTAGAATATAGAATATATTTATCAGCCAGTCGATTTCTGGGAGCTGATTTCCTTCATTTTGGGGATCGTGATCTGCTAATATTTAGAAATGAAGCCCATCTCATCCCCTGATCTCATTTTCATCAGCGAAGGTTTAAAAATCAGCCTCTGTCTTCTTCTGCTCTGCAGTGAGACGTTTGACTGACTGACCGGCCCACCAGGTCATGTCTGAATGTTAACAGTTAACAATATTCATCTCACTGTTGCCAACTCACTGACTTTATTCCTATATTTAGCAACATTTCAGACAAAGAAAATTGGTATAAAATTAGCGATCAGGTTTTTTAAAGATCAGTAATCAGCCAAAAACTGCAATCGGTGCAGCAATACACACATATTCATGACTTTCTTTGATTAAATTAATTTCTCTGAAGCATAACTCCAAAAGCTAAAGAATATAATTTACACCAGGTGAGTCTCTCTCTCCTGACAATATGGACCGGTACCAGTACCGGGTTGATTCTGAGCCTTCAAATTATTTAACAGAAATTCACAGAACTTAGAAGTTGATGTAAAATAATGTTTGTTTTAGCCACAAAATGATCAGCAGCAAACAACAAACCACCAGCTGCAGCTTAGAGCAGCTCAGTGATGTATTGATGCAGCAGCCATGCAGCCTGACGGGAAACATTTTGCTGGATGTCAAACATTGAGAAGTTTAAATTATTCTTATCAAACGTAATCAAACAACGTTTTGAACCAAAAAACCTGAGAAATGTTCAGAGTCCAGCAGGAGAATCGACTCATTTCAAGTTAAAACTCAGTTTCACACAAAGACGCAGCTTAAATGTTTGGCTGTTGAACTGAATCGTTCAAGATCTCAATAAAGTTAATAATCTATCAGCAGCTTCACAAATCTCTTTTATAAACATTACATTACCAAGACACATTAAAACAAACCTTTATCTTGGCTTCTTTCTATTCTCCCTGAATGATAAGTTCTTTTTTGAGACATTATTTTGCCAACTTATCTTCTGATCAGAGCTTTGGACGTCTTGATGCTCAAAGCTCAGCAGCTCATGTTACTGGCAAAGGGTGCGATACCACCGCGGCCACCAGGGGTCCCAAGAACATTTATTTTTATTTTCTACCATAAAATGATTTTTACATAATTTACCAAATATGTTGTGAAAACAAATCACTTTATGATCAAATTGTGTGTTTTTGTTGTTGTGATGACAGAAATCCTGATTAAAAACAGGAATATGGCTGCACTGTGGTGACGTTGGGGTTTAGCACAACCCACGTTTGGAGGCCTTCGTACTCGACGCGGCGGTCACGAGTTCGATTCCCAGACCAGGCGACATTTGCTTCATGTCTTCCCCTCTCTCCTTGCTGTCTCTCCTGTCAGGCTATTTTGGAATAAGGGCCAATAGTGCCCACAAAAATATTTGGAAAAAGAATATCATCAACTACCAGAAATACCAGGGCCTCAGGGAAGAACTGGAGAGGGCCTGGAAGGTGAAGACCACAGTGGTGCCTGTGGTCATCGGGGCCCTCGGGGCAGTAATCCCCAAACTGGATCAATGGTACAACAGATCCCAGGAACAACATCAGACATCTCAGTCCAGAAATGTGCAGTCCTTGGCACAGCCAAGATTCTGCAGAACCCTCAAGCTCCCAGGCCTCTGGTAGAGGACCTGAGCTCAGAGGATAAGAACCACCCGCGGTGGGTGAGAAGGGAATTTTTTTATATATTTCAGCTCCACTGAGGGGCCCGTTGGTGGCCCTGGGGCCCTTAGCAGCTGCTTATGCCTTGGGCCGGCCCTGAGACTGACATTGGAGTAATTTTTGAGTTTAATCTAATTATTGAAATATGTTTTCTTCATAAAAATTTATGGAGAAGAACCAAACTGGCCACTTTATTAGTCCAGCAAATCGTTTTTATTTAGTTTATTTTCTTTCTTTTTTCAGATATTGTTGGTCTGTATCAGCCTGACCTTAAAGCGTCTCTGAAGACGATGATCCAAGTCTCTCTGAAGGCGTCGCTGAACTGGAAATAAAACCGATCTGAACCAGATCGACACTGAGCTCTACATCACAGAGGGGTCAACTAGAGAGGTCAACCAGGAACATGAGGTCAGACAGATTGAAACAGCATCCAGGAAACAAGAAACAGTCAGAAGAGAAGACATCTTTAAAGTCCCACCTGGAGGAGATCAACCAATCAGAACAGTGATGACCATGGGCGTGGCTGGCATTGGGAAAACACTGTTAACACAGAAGTTCACTCTGGACTGGGCTGAAGGCAAAACCAACCAGAACATTGATTTTATATTTCCATTCACCTTCAGAGAACTGAATTTACTGAGAGAGAAAAAGTTCAGCTTATTAGAACTGATTCATGAACGATTCACTAAAACCAAAGGAATCAGAAACTTTGAATCGTTCCAGGTTCTGTTCATCTTTGATCTGGATGAAAGTCGATTTAATCTGGATTTCAAGAACAATCTGATCCTGACTGATGTTACAGAGTCCAGCTCAGTGGATGTTCTGCTGACAAACCTCATCAGGAAGGAACTGCTTCCCTCTGCTCTCCTCTGGATAACCACACGACCTGCAGCAGCCAATCAGATCCCTGCTCAGTGTGTTGACATGGTGACAGAGGTCAGAGGGTTCACTGACCCCCAGAAGGAGGAATACTTCAGGAAGAGATTCAGAGATGATGGAGAGAAGGCCAGCAGGATCATCTCCCACATCCAGAAATCCAAAAGTCTCCACATCATGTGTCACATCCCCGTCTTCTGCTGGATCACTGCTAACGTTCTGGAGGATGTGATGAAGACCAGAGAGAGAGAGAAACTACCCAAGACTCTGACTGAGATGTACATAGAGTTCCTGCTGGTTCAACTCAACATCAAGGAGGAAAAATATGATGGAGGAAAAAGAGCAAATCTATCTGGAGTCCAGAGAACAGGAAGCTGATTGAGTCTCTAGGAAAACTGGCTTTTGATCAGCTGCTGAAGGGAAACCTGATCTTCTATGACAAAGAGCTCAAACGGCGGCATCAACATCCAAGATGCTGCGTTGTTCTCAGGAGTTTTCACTGAGATGTTTAAAAGAGAGAGAGGGACACGCGACGTCTCCGTCTACTCCTTTGTTCATCTGAGCATCCAGGAGTTTCTGGCTGCAGTCTACATGCTCCACTGCTTCACCAGCAGGAAGTCAGAGGAGATCAAGACGTTCCTGGGAGACGAATACAGAGAAACATCTCTAGATGAGTTCATGAAGAAAGTCATGGAGAAATCCCTCCGCAGTAAAAATGGCCACCTGGACCTGTTTGTCCGCTTCCTTCATGGTCTCACTGTGGAGTCCAACCAGAGAGTCTTAGAAGATCTGCTGGGTCAGACAGAGACCAGTCCAGAAACCATCCAGAGAATCATCACCAACCTGAAGAGATGAACACTGATAGAATCTCTCCTGACAGAAGCATCAACATCTTCTACTGTCTGGTGGAGATGAACGACGTCTCATTTTATCAGGAGATCCAACGGCTGCTGGATTCAGGGAAGGAGCTCTCAGTGACTGACTGTTCAGCTCTGGCCTTCATGCTGCAGATGTCAGAGGTTCTGGATGAGTTGGACCTGGAGAAGTACAACACATCATATGATGGACGACTGAGACTGGTTCCAGCTGTGAGGAACTGCAGAAAGGCTCGGTGAGTCCAGATGTTTTCATTGTGTGATGCTGATTCAGCTCTATTGTCCTCCTGTTTCTTCTTCTGTCTTCAAGTTGATTCTGGATGTTTTTGCTCTTTATCTACTTCCTTCATCCTCTGGATTATTTTTCATAAACTTTATATTTTGTTGTTTTTACAGTTTCAGAAATATAAATACTTTGAACATTCAAACCTCCACTAACAAAAGCTGCAAAGTATCTTGTTGAACAAAGACAATTAAATAATAAAACAATAAAACCCAAAGTGAGAACTTTCACAATAAAACTAGATGATTACATTGATCCTCCAGTTGGTTCCAGGTTCAGGTTTCTCTCTTCCAATATTTTTATTGATCAGCAGAAAGTCTTCATGACAGTCAGTCTCTCCACTGGATGAATTTCCTTAATTATTTCCTTCCAGTCTAATGTGAATGTTCTGATCATCATCATCATCATCATCATCAGTGTTGCATGTTATTCGCCCAGGAAAACATTAAAACATTCTGGGGAGGAAATTTCACATGTTCTCTGATGAGATTAAAATAAGTTTGTGTCAAACTGACTGTCTGTTCGTGTCTGCTGCTCCTTTGTGGTGTTAATTTAAAAACTCAGCATGCAGAAGCTGCTGGTTGCTTATCTTGACTCTGAGAGCATTCTGCTAAAGAAACCAGGTTCTGCAGAGCAAGAGAGACGTTTTGTAACAAGCAGAAATATTAAGTAGGGAACTGGTTACAGGTCTGAGAACAAACACAAAGCGTTCGGTTCCCCATGTACACTCAATCAATCAATCAATCAATCAATCTGATTGATTGATGTACACTCACTGCTAAGTTAATGAGGAATATTCATGAATATTTATCTTATGCTAGTCGACACATACAGTTACTTTTAGCTATCAAGCTGCAGCATTTATGATGCTGCACTATGCTGCAGCACTTATGATGCTGCAGCTCGTGGTAAAAATGAGTCAATTTTTTAAATAAAGTGTTTATCAGAAAACCTAAAGATCAAATCAGGATTGATTTAACACCAGAGACAGAAAAATAGAGCAAAAGGTGATTTGAACTGCAGTTGGAACAATTATTGACAATATATACAGGGGTTAAAGTTAATCAATAACTGGTTCAATCCTCCATTAATCACAAACACTGAAAAATAAGTTGATTAAATTCATTAAAAATGTCCAAATGCTGATAAAGATCCAGTTCAGTTTCACCAAACCAAGAACCAAAGTACTGAAGAGGGAGTTGGGAAAGCATTTATTGATTTAATATAGATCAGATATTGACTCGATCAATATCTGCCGATAACAGATATTGATGAGTTATCGACGTTTGATTCATCAATTTCAACCTCAAATGATTCGTTGACACATTTTCAACTTTGGTTCTGACTAGAATTGGATGATTGTTTGCTGATTGATCATTGATTATGGACCAGAAATCAACCATTCTGACTATAATCCATCGTTGACGTAGCATCCTGTGCTATCAGGTCGGCTAACTCTGGGTCAGTTAGCGTTAGCAGTTAGCGTTAGCAGTTAGCGTTAGCAGCTCATCGTCTGGTCTTGTTACTTAATAGTTCCTCCCATAATGTTGTTGTTCTCTGATGGATCAATAAAAGCAGCAACGTGGCGATGAGGGTTCAGCCTCGGCCACAGACCCTTTCCTGAATCTGATAATCCACATTAATCTTAATCCTGGCAGAATGTGATTCATACAGACTGAAACAACCTATAATCTGATTATTAAAGCCAAATCTGTCCAGAGCTCAATAAAGATATTTCCAACACATTGAATCAAAAGCCTTTTCAGCATCTAAATGACTTTATTGATTCTGTTTAACCTTTGACCTGTGAGGTCAGGAGCCCACGTTGTCATGGGTTTGAATGTTGATGATAAAACCAGATTAAATCTGATCTGTGTCTGTAATTCCTGGGATTATAATATTCATCCAGTGTTGCTGCAGTGATCCTGTAATCAATGTTTCAAACTGATGTTGGTTTATGAACCACATCCAGTTTCATCTTTACCAGGTTTAGGAATCACTGACATCTCTGCTCTGATCCAAGATGGCGACGTTTCCTCCACAAAGTTCTGATCAAATCAATCCTTCAGCAGCCGCTCTGCCGGGTCGCCTCCTCACCTGCCGTCTGATTCCCTTTCAGTCTTTAATGACTTTATTGATCAGTGATTAGTTGTTAGTGGATGATTTTGATCTGTTCCTATCGATGGTGAATCCAGAGCAGCAGCAAAAACTGCATGAGGCTGAGAGCAGAACTGAGTGGAGGATCATTCAACAGATTCTCATGTGTTTTAGAGATCGGTGTCTTTATCTGTTGGATTTTAATTTATTGATAAATCTATTAGTTTGCTATCAGTTTCTTTGCTTTGATCTATTTCCATAATAGTTGAGTTGAATAAATTTATCCTTTTCCTCCATCTGGTTTCATAGAAACAGTTTCTCCTTGTTTCTCTGATTTGTTATTATTATTATTTTCCATACGTTGTATTTGTAGAGATTTTAGTTTTCTAATCTTTTAAACATTTCTCTCTTTCTCGTTAGAGAACCAGATAATTAAAGTTTTTGCTTCGTCCCATAAAATCCAGGGAGAAAAATCCTCTGTGTTGTTCTGGTTCAAATCATCTTTGAGTCGTTTTTCCTGAAATCTGTTAAATTTAGTGTCATTAATAAACTATAATTATTGTTGATTCTCCACAGGGTTTCTTTGGTTCATGACCCAAAAGGGTCCGGCCCTTTCCAGGCCCTGGTCTGGCCCAGATCCGGCCCTGGTCTGGCCCGGATACGGCCCTTTCCTGGCCCGGGTCTGTCCCTGGTCTTGCGCTGGTCTGGCTCGGGTCCGGCCAGGATCCGGCCCTTTCCTGGCCCTGGTTTTGCCGTGGCCCGGCCCTGGTCCGGCCCGGATCCGGCCCAGGTTCGGCCCGAGTCCGGCCCTTTCCTGGCCTGGGTCTATCCCTGGTCTTGCGCTGGTCCGGCCCGGATCTGGCCCTGGGCTGGCCCTGGTCCGGCCCTGGTCTGGCCCGGGTCCGGTCCTGGTCTGGCGCTGGTCCGGCGCTGGTCCGGCCCGGGTCCGGCCCAGATCCGGCCCTTTCCAGGCCCTGGTCTGGCCCGGATCCGGCCCTTTCCTGGCCCGGGTCTGTCCCTGGTCTTGCGCTGGTCTGACTCGGGTCCGGCCCGGATCCGGCCCTTTCCTGGCCCTGGTTTTGCCATGGCCCGGCCCTGGTCCGGCCCGGATCCCGCCCAGGTTCGGCCCGAGTCCGGCCCTTTCCTGGCCCGGGTCTATCCCTGGTCTTGCGCTTGTCCGGCCCGGATCTGGCCCTGGCCTGGCCCTGGTCCGGCCCTGGTCTGGCCCGGGTCCGGTCCTGGTCTGGCCGTGGCCTGGCCCTGGTCCGGCCCTGATCCGGCCCGGGTCCGGCCCTGGTCTGGCCCTGGTCTTGCGCTGGTCTGGCCCGGGTCCGGCCCGGATCCGGCCCTTTCCTGGCCCTGGTTTTGCCGTGGCCCGGCCCTGGTCCGGCCCGGATCCGGCCAGGTTCGGCACGAGTCCGGCCCTTTCCTGCCCCGGGTCTATCCCTGGTCTTGCGCTGGTCCGGCCCGGATCTGGCCCTGGTCTGGCCCGGGTCCGGACCTGGTCTGGCCCGGGTCCGGCCCGGATCCAGCCCTTTCCAGGCCCTGGTCTGGCCCGGATCCGGCCCTTTCCTGGCCCGGGTCTGTCCCTGGTCTTGCGCTGGTCTGGCCCGGGTCCGGCCCGGATCCGGCCCTTTCCTGGCCCTGGTTTTGCCGTGGCCCGGCCTGGTCCGGCCCGGATCCGGCCCAGGTTCGGCCCGAGTCCGGCCCGAGTCCGGCCCTTCCTGGCCAGGGTCTATCCCTGGTCTTGCGCTTGTCCGGCCCGGATCTGGCCCTGGGCTGGCCCTGGTCCGGCCCTGGTCTGGCGCTGGTCCGGCGCTGGTCCGGCGCTGGTCCGGCGCTGGTCCGGCCTGGATCCGGCCCTTTCCAGGCCCTGGTCTGGCCCGGATCCGGCCCTTTCCTGGCCCGGGTCTGTCCCTGGTCTTGCGCTGGTCTGGCTCGGGTCCGGCCCGGGTCTTTGCCGATCTCATAAGTATATTTTTAAAATGACCATTTCCAGTGGGGTGGCAGTAGGGGTGGCAAGGCCTCTGTTGGGGGTGGCAAATGCAATCCCTGCCACCCCTCTGTCTCCGCCTCTGCTGTCTGAAATGTTTTATTTTTGCTGGAGACCAGAAAATGATTTTAGTGAAAGTTCCAGTTTCATATCAATATCTGATACTTTGAGTCCAAAATGTTCCTAATAATCATTACTTACTGTCAACACATTGAATCAGGAGATTCTCTATGATCCATGCAGCAGAAAATGGATCCCAACATCTTCTAGTTACTGGAGAAATTTCACTGCTTCATCATGAAAAATGGACCCAAACACTGTTCTGGTTCTGTCCACCATGATCCATATCATCACTATAGTAGATCAGACTGATGGACTGAGAGTTTATCAGTCTGTCTCATCTCAATGTGTGCAGCCATATTAATGAGGATCATCTGCAGATCCTGGGTCACCTGGACCCGGTTCTGACCCAGTCCAGACGGTTCAGACCGGAAGGAGCAGCAGGACCGGCGCTGCTGCTGCTCTGCAGGACGACCAGAACAACGTGAAGCTTTTAGCTGCAGCAGGTTGACGACTGTCCATTTCTACTTTGTTAAAGCATCAAATCCAGCAGATGAACGGAGACAGAACTGGAGCATCATGTGTTTGTTCTGCTCCCAGTTTCCTCTGTGGCAGCATTTAATAACCTGCTGCTGGGAAACATGTTTCTATACAATATATTACTATTATTCATGATGATGCAGCAGATAGTGGCTCAACAAACCCAGAGATGCAGAGGTCCACAGCAGCTGGACTTCCTGTTCTGCTCACTTCATTTAGAACTCACTTCCTGCTTGATCTAAACGGTCTAGTCCAAGTCAGAGCTGTGAGCAGTTCCTCCTCCTCTCCATCATCTCAGTCGTTTCCTTCATTCAGCTCAGTCAGCCTCTTCATCAGCTGCTGCAGAGAAACTGAACTTTCCTTCACTGATGATAGAAGATCTTCAACATCTGACTGCAGCTGAAGGTCTGAGGACATGAAGCCTGGACCAGAACCAGAACCTGAACCTGGACCAGAACCAGAACCTGGACCAGAACCAGAACCAGAACCTGGACCAGAACCAGAACCTGGACCAGAACCAGAACCAGAAGAACCTGGACCAGAACCAGAACCTGGACCAGAACCAGAACCAGAACCAGAATCTGGACCAGAACCAGAACCAGAACCTGAACCGGAACCAGAACCTGGACCAGAACCAGAACCAGAACCTGGACCAGAACCAGAACCAGAACCTGAACCTGGACCAGAACCAGAACCTGAACCTGGACCAGAACCAGAACCTGAACCAGAACCAGAACCAGAACCTGGACCAGAACCAGAACCTGGACCAGAACCAAAACCTGGACCAGAACCAGGAACTGCACAGATTCTCTGTGGTTAAACTCAGTAGATATTGATCAGATTTTGATCAGATGATGATCAGATGATGATCAGATGATGATCAGATGATGACATCACTGTTATCATATTTTAGTCTGTTTATGATCCAGATTGATTTCATCAGAACTGAATTTATTTCTTCTCTAATCACAGACTTGGTGACTGTTCGCTCCTAAAGGCTGAATGTGAAGTTTTGGCCTCGGCTCTGAAGTCCAACCCAATCTGACTGAACTGGAAATAAATCAGATCAAAATAAGTTATGGTGGAGAATCTGATATGAAGCATCTGGTTGAGATCCTGGAGAATTCAGTCAGTAAAGTGAAGATTCTGAGGTTTGTTTTCTCTATTTATTCAATAAAATCATTTATTGATTCTTTAATCAATAGTTAATCAATTTAATGTTAATATATATTATTTAAAACAACCGTTTAATCATCAGAATAAAATCTCTAAAACTTTTGACCTTATTAATTATTTTCTTATTTCATACTTTGAGATTATTGAACTTTGTTTTTCAGTTTTTCACTTTAAAATGTTTTTGATGAACAAAATGAGTAAAATAATTGAAATGCTGTGAATGAATGATGGAGATGTTTCAGTTTGGTAAAGATTCAGATGCTTTTATTTCTGATTCTTTACATCAGAATGAAATGTTGATCCTCCAGAACACTGACGAGTTCAAATCCTCATTAATGAACGTCTAAGAAACCACTGATTGTAGAAAAGCAAATCTAGATGCAATGAATGAAAGTGAGGTTGCAGCAGCAGCAGGTTCCTCAGCTTTGTCCTGAGGCTGTGGTTCTGTTGGGCCGGGTCAGAGAGGAACCGTCTCCTGAGGAAATAATGGCCTCCATTGGCTTTCAGCAGCTTTAATAGGAACCCAAAGGCCATTAATGAAGAACCTGACTGGTTCTGATCCAGTTACCAAGTCGGGTCTGATGATCAGGAACCAGCAGAAATAGCTCAACTCATCCAGACTGATAGAAAACTTTGAGTTTCTTTGTTGATCAAATGTTCTGGTTCTGCTGGTTTGGACTCTTTAAACCAGTTTGACTGGATCAGATGTTAGAATCAGTTCATCATGTTTCTTTACATTCAGGGAAATTAATTTATACATTTTATTATTGATTTGTTCATATTTCAGTTTTAACTGCATCCTGTAGGTTCACATCTTTTATTCTTTATTCAGATTGTGGAGCTGCAGTTTATCAGAGACCAGCTGGACGTCTCTGTTCTCAGCTCTGAAGTCCAACCCGACCCGTCTGACAGAACTGGACCTGACCAGAACCAACCTGGAAGGTTCTGGACTGAAGGATCTCTGTGGTTTTCTACAGACTGAAGGCTGCAGACTGGAGACATTGAGGTATTTAATGATATAATTATTGATATTTCTGTGAATAATTCTATATAATTGATCATCAATCAAAGTTCATTTCTTCTGATCTAATCAATATTTTCTGAGTTTGTTCCTGGATCCAGAGTTTAATTTAGTTTCTCTGTGTACTGAGTTGGACCTGCTGATCTGAGGTCAGAACAGGACAGCATTCGGACCCCAGTGTAGAAATCCCCCTCAGGTCAAGCAGGTCAAAGGTCAACATGAAATCTCCCTTTATTGAAGATCCATAAATCCCACATTAGTTTTAAATCTCCTGCTATTAGTTGATGATGATCCCAGTCCAGGTTCACAGAGTCCAGGTGTTGCAGTGCTTTAACTAGACCAGATTAAGATCTGATATCCTGATCAATATTCCCATTTCTGCAGCGTCTCTGATGAACGATTCAGAACCAGAACCAAATGACCCACAATGACCTCACAGAGAAAAGGATCAATATTTTCTAGTTGATGGTTCAGAAACTGAATCAGCAAAATGATCAACTTTCAGAATGTGATGATATGATAAAAGGATTGAAATCAACCCGTTTCCATCTGTCATACTGAGCAATGAGCTGCAGTCAAATACAAGCAGCAAGAAAACATCATTAATAGATTAATGAAGAAAAACTGGAGCCATAAAATATCAGCAGATCAATGATGGACAGAGCAGTCGGAGAATCCAGAGCCTGGAAGGAAAACATGGAGAGAAAAACATCACTGAGTTTAAGATCCTCAGAAACTTTGAGACAAACTTTGAGTTTCTTTGTTGATCAAATGTTCTGGTTCTGCTGGTTGGACTCTTTAAACCAGTTTGACTGGATCAGATGTTAGAATCAGTTCATCATGTTTCTTTTACATTCAGGAAATTAATTTATACATTTTATTATTTTTCATATTTCAGTTTTAACTGCATCCTGTTGGTTCACATCTTTTATTCTTTATTCAGATTGAATTACTGCAGTTCATCAGAGACCAGCTGGACGTCTCTGTTCTCAGCTCTGAAGTCCAACCCGACCCATCTGACAGAACTGGGCCTGATCAGAACCAACCTGGGATTCTGGACTGAAGGATCTCTGTGGTTTTCTACAGATGAAGGCTGCAGACTGGAGACATTGAGGTATTTTAATGATATAATTATTGATATTTCTGTGAATAATTCTATATAATTGATCATCAATCAAAGTTCATTTCTTCTGATCTAATCAATATTTTCTGAGTTTGTTCCTGGATCCAGAGTTTAAATTTAGTTTCTCTGGTAACTGAGTTGGACCTGCTGATCTGAGGTCAGAACAGGACAGCATTCGGACCCAGTGTGTAGAAATCCCCCTCAGGTCAAGCAGGTCAAAGGTCATCCAGTCTAGAAAAGTGAATTCCTGGAATCTGACAGGAACAAATCAATAATCAATGATTGATGCTTCAACACTTTGATCAGAACCTGGAATGATTTTACTGACTAAAATCCTCCAACACATCATGACCCAGTACCAGGTTCTGGTTCTGGTTCTGGTTCTGAAGTCAGCAGGTCTTTATTGGAGCAGCAGCTTGTTGGCATTAATATTCATGAGAATCTTTAACTGGTTCTGTTGGACTGGTTAACCTGCATCCTGTTGGTTCACATCTTTTATTCTTTATTCAGGTTGATGAGATGCAGTTTGTCAAAGATCAGCTGTGATTATTTGGTCTCAGCTCTGAAGTCCAACCCGACCCGTCTGACAAGACTGGACCTGGGATGGAACAGCCTGAAGGAATCAGATGTTCAGCAGCTGAAGGATCTTGTAGAGACTTTATGGTAAGTAAATGTTTGCAGTGAGTCCAGCTGCTGTCAGCATATTGAACTAAACCCAGTCAGCATCAAAGCAAAGATCCAGTGTTCCCAGTAAAGCTGCAGCTTCTCAGTGGGAGGAGAATGGTTCAGGCTTCCTGATTGGACACAGCAATCAGCCAATCAGAGAGGCAGCAGCTTGCTGTGTTGTTGCTGTGTCCATGTCTCCAGGACGTCCAGCTGGACTCCAGCGTCCAACATGTCTAGAGACAGTGGTCCTCATTCATCAAACAGCAGCAGATCTGATCTCAGACCTGCTTGTTCTCTCAGTTCAACAGGAAACAACTGATCAGGTTCATCTTGGTCACAGCTCTGAGATCAGTCTGACTGGAAACCATCTACTGGATGTGCTGCGTCACTGACTGCTACTGGAAACACTCACTGATCTGCTCTCCTTCCTTCTTCTCTCTGCAGGTGGGAGACATATTGATGATCTCTATAAAGTAGAGAACGTCTCTGTGTCCTGCTGATCCTCAGAGGTTGAAGCTGCAGCAGTTTGAGTCTAAAGAGACTCTGGATCAAGATGATGACCTCTGACCTCAGAACATTTTCCATTTCAAATATTTTCTAGACGTCGATTGTTTGAAGATTTTCAGTTTTATTTTTCATCTGATCTGTTTGATGATCTGCAGGAACAAAAGAGAGAAAAATACTCTGAGTTTGTTAGAAAAGTTGAATTGAGCAAAAACATGAAGCATAAATTTCATTAAAAAGCTTTAAAGAGTTTGTTAATGGGACAAAATGTCATTTTATTCTGTTGAGGTGAAAAAGTTGATCTAAAATCAGACATGATAGCAGCTCTATAGATTCAGAGCCAAACAGTAAAACTTCCTCTGGATCTGTGGCATTAAATCCACTTGAGATCCAGACGTCCTGACCAGATCCTGCAGAGAAAAGAAACAATATTTGAACGTGGATCATTTGGACTCGGCTGCTTGGATGTGTGTTTGGATTTGAAAGGTTTTGTTGTGAAGCAGAAAGTTGATGAAGTTCACAGTGAAGACGACTTCAGTCCACCTGAAACCTGGTTTCACTCAAACCGTCTTATTCACTTTAAGTTTCTGATGCAACAAGAAGGAAGAAAAGGTCAAAGGTGAAACAGAGATCGACTCCATGTTGCTCACAGATGTGATGGGATCAGTTTGCACAGCTGTTGTTCAAGGAGAAGTTTTATTTTCCAGCTTTTGTTGATGGATGCAAATTTGCATCAGAAGATGAGAAAATAACTTTCTGTGGTTTATTTGTGTGGATTTAAAGTGGAACAAGTTTAAAGAAAAACTAGAGGAGAAACCTGAGCCAGCGTTCTGACAGACCAAACACTGAGGAACCAGAGTTTGCATCGTCAAAGTGACGAAATCATCTGAATGTTGTGACTCGTTTCCCATCAAATCCCTGACAGGAGAAGCAAAACCTCACGTCTCCAACATGAAGCTGCAACAGGATGCAGAACTTCCACCGAGCGTCACGTCACTCACAGCAGATCAGGAGCCTCGCTCTTCACCTCAACACCGCCTAAAACCTGGGACCAGGGGTTAAAGGTCATCTCCTGCACCTAGTGCAACATTTCACTCCTTATGAGAGCGCGTCTCAGTTTAGAGGCTAAAACCAGCAAGAAGCTTCAGAGTTTTCCTGCAACGTAGCTCTGGTCTATTGGCTTCAGTGAGGCTGGTTTTACTGAAGATGTGTTCAGGTACGCAGGAAAATTCAGTGCTGATACAGACGGGACGAGCGACTCCACCTCTGATGATGCTTGGATAAAAGTTTATATGTTCATGAGATGAAACAGTTAATTTTCCTCACATATCAGGACATTCTCCATCGGTCATCCTGCCGTCGTTCTGGATTTATTCATTATTTACATCATCAATAGAAATTGTTCAACCAGATGTTTCTCTTTGTTTTAATTTTAAAGTCAGATCAAGTCAGCTTACATTACTGTCATTAAATAAGAGTCACTGCAGGATTTTATTCAGTCTGATCAGAAAAATCACGAATCTGCAAGAAAGCTCAACAACAACAAGCAATAAAAGCGTATTGTTCTGAAGTGAACTGGATGTGCCACATTGTTTTGTGGGATTTCTTTGTGGCTCAGAGAACTTTATCTGTCCAATTTTCCCGTGATGAAAACCTTTCGTTAATTTGGGTTTTGATTGATCTGCATACTCAATCGCTATCATGGTCATGTGGCCGTTTTCTGACATGATCAAATTTTTTGTCCTAAACTCTGTAAAGAGTTTAACACAGCAGCTTTAGTTTCTTTTTAAATCTGTCTTCATTACATATAACTCCAAACAATGAATTATAATATATCAGAATAATATTTGAGTTAGTAAACTGTCAATATGACTGAGGAAAACTTCGTTTTTATCTAAACTCCACATTAAATGTAAATAATGCAGCATTATCAAGACTTTAGTTCCCACGATGGCCACCAGAGGGCGGAAATATCCCGCTCTCAACATAGAGGTGAGTTTGTAGAGCTGCAGCTGGTTTCTGACTTCTGTTAAGTTGATCACGTTTATATCTTTCTCATTATAAATATTGATATTGTGGTCTGTCTAATGGACTTTAATATATAGATGTGTTATTTACATACAAATAACTCTATATCTACCAAATAAGGTACATATTAATACAATAACAGGTTTGTTTGCCAAGATGCTGAGTTTCCGGTTTAGTCAGGAGAATTTTTAAGAAATAATTATTTCTGGAAAACAGAATAATTACTATAATTTGGCCCAATTATATAATAATAATAATATCGTAAGAAAATTGCACAATTAAGCTTTCTTACAATATAATAAACTTCCAAGCTAAAATGTACTTTCAGGAGAATATAGTTCCTTGTGTTTTACTTTGAAAGAACCCAGAGGAAGTGCTTTTCACATATCTGCTCTCTAGCTTTACTCTTGCTGTCGTTACACACTGTGTCCACTAGGGGGCAAAAGGCTAAGTTAGTAGTTAGCTACTTTCCCGCTCCTGATCAGCTAATGAATCTCTTGTTGCTCTCTTGGTGTTTCTACTGTTATTTCTTAAATCTGTTTCATATTTTAACATAAAATCAATGTTTTGTTTGTGAAGAAGAAGCAGCTTCACAGAGATGAACCAGATCGCAGACTTTGAGAGGAGCTAACGATGCTACCAGACCAGCAGGAGCTTCAGAGGAGCTGTGGCTCCTAAACTATTAATATCAGTTTAGGGCGGTATTTGCCCTCTAGTGGATCTAGATAGTAACTACAGCCACGTCATAAAGTTAGAGAGTTAACGTTGCACATTCACTTCCGGCTTGTTCTTTCACATTAAGATCGATAGAAACGGGTCATTTTACTGTTTGCTTTTATTTGAAATAATATATTTAACTTTTATTAAACAACAAAACCATACACAAAAGCAGCAAATTAAACTCCGCTGAGGTTTTTTCCACATGTAATTTTCTTATTTCTTCAGACAGATAAAAGTATTTAAATAACATTAATGTGTGTGATACATCAATTCACAGATTAACTCAGTCATGGTTTTCTGATTGATTGCGAAAAATTAATTGCAGACTCGGCAACAAATTTTCATTGAATCCAACCACTCGTAATATTTTAAACTGTATCAATTTTTCACATTTAATTATTCCCCGTAAGGTTTTTTCATGTTTAATGTTTGGATTTTCAGTGTGAACTAGAAGCAGCTCCACAGAGATGAAAACATCCCGCAGAGATTCCAAACACCGAATTTAAATATGTCAGAATAATATTTGAGTTAGTAAACTGTGGATAGGACTCAGGAAGACTGTTAGTTTTTCTCAAAACTCCACATTAAGTGGATATTAAACGTAACTACTGCAGCATTATCAGGACTGTAGTTCCCACTATGGCCACCAGAGGGCGGAAATACCCCGCTCTGAATATAGAGGCGAGTTGTCATTATAAATATTAATATTATGGTCTGTCTAACGAACTGATAGTTGATTTGACATATAGATGTGTTATTTACATATTGATAACTCATCTATATATCAAGTAAATTACATATTAATGTTTCCTGATTAAATAATTCACAGGTCTGTTCGCCAAGATGCTTTGTTTTCTGTTTTGTCAGGAGAATATTTTTGAAATATTTATTTTTTCTGGAAAACAGAATAATTACGATAATTTGGCTTCAGAGCCCAATAATGTAATTTATACCATACCGGAAGAAAATGACATACTTATGCTTTCTGATACATTCATAAACTAATAAGCTAAAATGTACTTACGGGGAAATTTAGTTCCTTGTGTTTTACTTTGAAAGAATCCAAAGGAAGTGCTAATCACATATTAGTTCTCTAACTTTACTCTGTTTGTCGTTACATACTGTGTCCACTAGGGGGCAGAAGGCTAAGTTAGCAGTTAGCTGGTTCCCGCTCCCGATCGGCTAATGAAGCCCTTGTTGCTCTCTTGGTGTTTCTGTTGTTATTTCTCAAATCTTCTTCCTATTGTAACATGAAATCAGTGTTTTATCTGTCAGTGTGAACTAGAAGCAGCTCCACAGAGATGAAAACATCCCGCAGAGACTCTGAGCGGAGCTAACGATGCTAACTGACTTGCAGCATCTTGTTTTACAAAAAACTGATTATCAGCAGCTGCAGATTTAAACTCTGATGCTGAACAGCAGCGACTGTACTTCAGTTCACTGATAATCACTCACTAATGTATTATTAAACTTATATAAAGGATTAAGGAAATTAATAATCGCTCATAGATTTATTATTAAAGTAGCGTAAATGATTTTAGTGTGTGGTTACAATGTGTGACCACAAGAGGGCGGTAGAAAGCGAGTCTCTTCCAGAAAACAAATTAAAAGTTAATCTGTTTGCTACAGTGCGCGGATATTTTTTATTTATTTATCAAAACATTTATTGGCTTTTCCATTTTATTAATTGTCCTTTCGATGATTTTATCCAGCTTGATGCTCTGATCTCAGCTGATTAAGCTTATCACTAATAAATATGATTTTGTTAATATTTGTAGCTTTTTGACACTTTGATTCTCAAAATTAGCCACAGTTAATATATATATATTTTTTTACAGAATGAAATGTAATGTTTTTCAGCTACATTTTTATCAAGAGTCATAGAAATGATTACTTTCTGAGTAGTTGTTGTTCTCTTTGTGTTTAAATGATTTTACCAATTTATCTCCGTCTCTAATAACATACAAGTATAAAATATATAGATATTATTCATAGGATTGAGTTAATAAAGCTGTTGTCATTAGAAACTATTTAGTGAAAAGTTTAAAGTTTATCGGTTTTATGATGGTTGATTGAGTTCTTACTGCCCTCTGGTGGTGAACTATCATAACTACAGTCATTTTGATGTTTATTTTTGTTTTAAGTTTTAGTTTATGAAGTCAGATCAAGTCAGATTTACATTACTGTTAAATAAAAGTCACTGCAAGATTTTATTAGAAAAAAAATCTTATTAGAAAAACGTTTAAAACAGCAGCTTTATTTTATGATTTACATCTATTTTTATTTCATATATAACTCCAACCAGTGAAGTAAAATGTGTCAGTATAATATATGAGTCAGAAAACTGCGGATATGTCTCAGGAAGACTGTTAGTTTCTCTCTAAATTCCACATTAATTGATATTAAAGTAAATGCAGCATTATCAGTACTGTAGTTCCCACTATGGACACGAGAGGGCGGAAATTCCCCGCTTTCAATATAGAGGTGAGTTTGTAGAGCTGCAGCTGGTT